AAAAGTAATCAAACTCCAAAACCACAAACTACAAGCAATAAAACCTAGAGAGCAAAAAACAACAAAAACAAACAGTTGTCATCATCAGTAATGCACACATAAATCACAGAAATAACAACATTTTGTAGTCATGAGTGTTCCGCAGTGGCAGCAAGTGCAAGTCTAATTTATGTATGTAATGGACGAATGTTTCGGTCGTCATCAAAAAGAATAAACGGCGAATAAAACAAAAGCAACAAAACATGCTAGACACAACACGCTAAGGTCAGTGGTGCTGTCAGCCGTGATTTGTATCCCATTTGACACAATTGTAGTGTCCAAAAGCACTCAGGAATACATATACATACATATATACTACAGGATTATCCATTTCGTGCTTTAAAAAGTACAGGAAAGTACAGGGCTGCATTTTGACATCTGTCAAACGAAAATGATTTTTTTTAATCAGGCTTTTAAGAAAATGGATCGCACAACAACTGCACAACGCCTTGAACTTGCCAAAATCTGCTAAAAAAATAGTTTTTCAAAAGTGACTACGTTTCGTAATTTTTTTTTGCTGGATCACTTGGACAAAGGTTTCAATAGGATGGTGCCACATGCCACACTACACGAACGAAAATGGTTTTATTGCGAGAGGATTTTCCCGGCAGCGTAAGCTCTCGTCTCGGCGATGTCAATGGGCCACTGAGATCGTGCGATTCGAATATAAGGGGTGATTTTTTAGCTATTATCTTTTTAGCAACACTGGTTCAAACAGCTGACGCACGTTTCGTGTTTTGTAGGACTGTCAAACCAATTCATTTTGGTCTATAATTCAACCATGAGCCGGTTTGTGGATCGTACTTATTCAAAGATGATGAGAATCTTAACGTAACTGTGAATGGTGAGCGCTACCATGAGATGATAGCAAACTTTTTTTGTGTAACAATGGACTTATTAAGAAACGAGTTCGGGGAAAATTTTCTTTCACGTGCGGGACCGGCCAATTGTCCACCTAGGCGTGCGATTTCACGCCTTCAGTCTTTTTTTTTGTGGGGCTGAGTTAAATCTAATGTCTATACAGACAAACCCGCTTCAATTGACGCATTGGAGGACAACATGAAAGCATTTATTCGTAAGATACCGGCCGAAATGTTGGAAAAAGTATGCCAAACTTGGATTAAGCGGATGAACCATTTGAGACAATAAATTATATGGACCGAATTATCGATACAAATAAAGATTTTATGCATTTTTTGAATTTTTCACTCTCCCATAGCTCTTAACAAATCACCCTTTATATATGTATAAATATATATAGAATGCTTTATAATAAAAAGTAATTTCATAAAAACAACGATTTCGAATGCATTTTATTTATGTTTATTTTCAGAACCGCAAAATGGATGACCCTGTCTATAAGTACAGGTATAAAATAGAATGTGCACAAATATGGGCAAAGGTTTTAAATGAAAAGAAACAGTTTTCTAGAAACCCGCAGTAGACTGCAATATGCTGCTTAACACTAACAACTTAAAGGGACGTTTCCATAATTTTTTTTTCTTTTGCTCGTGCATAGGCTTCCAACCAGTCACACTGGTAGAATGTTAATACAGAAATAACTAACATGTCTCTGTCAATCTAATTTTAAATGTTAACGATTTGAAACTGAAAGTGCACGTCAAGTGTAGTGTTTGCTGCATGAAGACAAGTTCATATGTAGACAAGTACAGGCAGGGTCAAAAATGATGCAATGACGATTCTTTTGGGGTTTGGAACATTTTTTTATTTATTTATTTTTCCTTTTTTTAATTTTTAATTGATTTAATTTTTTTTTTAAATCCTGGAAAAAAATTAGTTCTACAACTGAAAAAAAAGACTGAAAAATAAAAAACAGATAAAAATGAGTAGATTTTTAGTATAAAGTAAGTGCATACAGTACACTGGCGGTAACACCACCTGCCTACTCTGTAATGTGAACACTTTTTCCAACTATCATCTATGTTTAAAAAAAAAGTGGCCTCGATCCAATCATTGAGCCATTATTCGATTTTCTCAAAAGAATCGATCCACTTACCTCCACCCCACACCCCTCAAATCGTTTTGAATCCGTTCAAAAAGCCAGTAATCGAGAGAGCAAGAGATGGAGGATGGGGTAATAAGACATTTCAGCGTTTCCAGGTACATTATTGAAATAAGGTATTTTAGAATTGAACACAGTGAAGCAATCAACATTTTCAAACAGGACTTTAGAATGGGATCTAATTGAAAATATTGCTCCGAGTGATATGAGATGCGAGTGGCGTGTTGAGCAGTTAGCGAACAAAAAAAGTTCCGAACTAGATAGCCAAATTTGTCAATTAACTTTGTCTTTCATTTTAAATTTTTCAAATATATATTGGGTCCGAGGTGGCGCAATTAAATAGAAAAACCCTCAGGAACCAAATTTCCATCTGCGACTCGCTGCTGATTCGCACGAATATCGACGCATTTCTGAAACGGTTGGTGACTGGTGATGAAAAGTGGACCACTTACATTAAGGTCAAATAAAAACGGTCATGGTCGAAGGGCAGTGACTTGGCACAGACACTCTTCAAGCCAAGATTGACGCTCAGGTAGATTGTATTGTGTGTTTTGAGATATTGGCAAGAAGTTATCGACTAAGAGCTGCTTGCCTACGTCCAAACTCTAAATACGGACTTGTATTTGTAGTTTGGTCTATATGAGGGTGTTGTGCTTCATCAGGATGATGCCAGATCATACACAACATTTAGTGACGCGTCTGATGATCCAAGAGATTGCACCAACTGTTCGTGTCCATGGTGAATAATTTGGCTTGTGAAGAATTCACCTCAAAACAAGCCTGTGAAAATCGATTGTCACAAATTTTTGCTTTCTATGAGAGACGCATAATGGCAATGCCTTCAAAATGGCAAACAGTTTCTAGGTTTTCATGCGAATGTACCTTTAGATGAGAGATAGCATTTTTTAATGTTGCGAAATTAAAACAAAAATTATATGCTTAAGTTTATTCACATTTGCATGAGTTATATTTTTGTTAAAGAAATTTAGAAAATATTGGAAGCAAAAACAAATAAAAACACATTAAAAAATATTAGAAATAAAAAAATTACCAAAAAAAAAATAAAAACATTTACTAGAAAAACCTAGTAAATACTTATAAATAAAAAAACACCTTTACCAAATTTATATTCATAACATATCTACATATATACACATGTATGGAGGTATTTGTGTGAAGAAAAATAACTTAAGTTGTAAGCCGCCAAAATGTTTATGACACTGCAGCGTGTCGTATTCATTAATGTTTGTCTGTTTGTAAATACATATGTATGCATATTTATTTTCGCCTTTTCCAGCTGACCTTTGTTGTGACAAGAATAGAAGCGAATTCATCAAGAAGGAAAAAGAGGTGTGCTAAATGCATTCATTTGAATACACACACATATATACATATGTATATACATATATATGTATTTACATGTGCACCTCTTTATTTGGGATTAACATTGTCAATGTGCTTGTTAGTGTTTTAAAAATTTAAAATAGACTAGAATATTTATATGAATATAGTGTATGTATGTATGACAGAGGCCAAACAAATGCCAAAAGTCACAACAATTGCAAATATACTAGATATTATACAAACATACGAATGTGGTATAGCCGTTTCTGGCAAGATTTTGTGCAAGCTTTTCTCAACATAACCGAGCGATGCTGCGTTAAATCTATTAAATATATTATATATGCAATAATCCATGTGGGTGTAGTGCATGGCTACCCAGCAGGAAATTTTTGCACTAAAACTTCCTAATCTAATATTCTAATTTCATTCAAAACTGCTTGCTTGATTAGATTATAACTTAAAAAAGAAATTTTCCATTTCGAAAGGGTCACGAAATACCTGTACGATCGAGTTCCATTAAAGTTTCTTTAGGAGTGCCCCAGGGTAACCAGTTGGGCCCGTTTCTGTTTTCACTACTTAGAAATAATATTTTTTCTGAGATAAAATTTTTAAAACTTTTTATGTATGCGGATGATATAGAGCTTTATAAATCCGAAATATTGGTAAATAAAGGTATCTTGCTGCAAACGAACATAAACAGTCCGGTTGAATGGTGCAAAAAAAAAATTGTACGTTTCTAAATCTTAAAAATGTTAAGCTGTGTGTTTTCCGAAAAGCCATACAAACAGAATGTAGTAGTAGACGATAATTTGGAACAGGTTCACCGTTTTATTGATCTGCGTACTAGGACGGACCTTAAACTCTGAACTCACTTCATATTAGTGTGAAAATTAACAAAAGCAGAGGTATATTGGTGTTTGTAAAACGGTGACTACTAAAGCTTTGTATACAGCATTAGTAAGACCTTTTCTGGAATACCCCAGGTAACATGCTTTCATAGTATAGAATACATTTAAAAATAAAAAATTATTTTTGCCTTGGAAAATTTCCATTGAAAGTTGCTAGTCGTAGAAAAATTCTAATAATAACACCCTGAATTTTTAATACTTTTCTTGATTTCAACACTCACGCTCACTGAGTCACGCTTTTATATTGAGAAAAGAATTTTGTCGACTCTCAAGTAATTATTGAATAACTTTTTATATTTGAATTAGGTTTCTTTTCAAAATATGTGGCTCGAAATCTCATAAAGTATCATCCAAAAATTACATGGTCGTTCGCTTCTCCCATGTAACCTCACCATCCCCTGTTCGATAAAACGTGCATTTGCTTCACACTACTTTCGTTTCCTCCAAAATATTTTTTAAATAGCATATGACCTATAAACTTACAATAAATACCCCTCCGGTTACGTGCCTATAGCGTTGCAAAACTTAAAAAATTACCGAAATTTGCGATCTAAATATTTCCTACAGGTCATTTTAAATGCGAGGTTTCTTCGGTGCAAGTGTGATCTTATAAAATTGTATGTCCGTGAGCTATTTTCATATAATAAACAGTTCTAAATTGTGTTTAACTAGCAAATAAAACATACCCAAGTATAACTAGTTCGCCATATCGCACTCGTGGTTTGTCGTGGCCATCTGCATCAGCTTCGGCTAATATGGGGGATTCTGTGCCGTCGGTGCTGTAATAAAAAAAATTAAAAGATAAATTAATTTAAATATTTTCGTAGTCTGAGAACATTAAAATATATAACAGCATATTTTTTAAAGAGCTTCCGAAAAGGTAAGCAACATCAATTGGAGGAAATTCACTTTTGTATTTTGACATTTTTATTGAATTTTATATGTAAAAAATGTATTTAAAAAAAATTTCGTGTGATTAAATGGTAAATTGTTTGAAAGACGTAGAAAATTTTGTTTACACTTCAAACAACTCTATTTGTTAAGAATACTCTTTCGCAAATAAAAAAAAAAATCACTTTAAATTCGTAAATTAATGTTCAACTGCACCATTCCACGGTGCAAAAAAGTAATTCGCAACTCAACACTGCCCAGCCGCAGAAAAGTTCTTAGACTTGCATAAGTAAAAACTACTTGGAAGAAAATATGAATTATATTCGTTGTTATTGTTATTGTTGATTTGTTTTTACTTTTAACGTCGGTGCAAATATGTTCAACGAACTTGCCACAAACACTTACGCCTTTTCTAACACTAAAATTTCATTCTAATTAACAGCAGGAATAACAACACCAACTAAACAGAAAGTAGAAAGCAGACAGCCTTCCATTTCTACCGCTACCTGCACGGGCTGTGCGATGGCAGCCACTTATTTGTTTGATACTTGGTTGGTGATGGCACAGAGTTGCCACGAATCTTTGGGTGAGGAAATTGTCAAACTCGCACACAGTCATACGCTTCCCTTACACGTCGCTCCTAATAGCTGGAAAAACTTGAAGAATTCTTTGTGAGTTTAATTATTGCAATGGGTTTTGCAAGGCATGAATAAAATATTTGACATCCCGGAAATCATAAAAGATCAGTTTTGAACAAGATTAGGGCGGTTATATGTACGAAGGCATGTTTTATGTTCGCGGAAAGAGAGGAATGTAGGGGTGATTGGGATCTTCAGGATAAATACGAGGTTTAATTGTTATTAGACAAGTGAGAAGGGAAATATGGAAAATAATTGATATTATAAAGTTCCTTTCGAAATTTTTTGGACCAATCGTGGAATATTTCAATAATTCTTTGAGGCAAAGACATACCCTAGATAGTAAATAGTATGACCTCTCAATTGTCCAAGAAGTACTGCCATGCGGAAAGCTTGGGTTCGAGTTCTGGTGTCGTACTAACATCCAACAATTAATGTACCACAAAAAATTAAGCTAAATTTTCTAATTACGGTCGCCCCTCGGCAGGGAATGTCCACCCCTCTGAGTGTATTTCGGTCACGGAATGAAGGCTCCTCGTAAAAAAAAAGCATCAGCCATTCGGAGGCGGCTCAGTATAAACTGTAGGTCCCTCCATTTGTTGGAAAAACATCAATACGCAAAACCACAAATTGGAGGAGGAGCTTAGTCGAAAATCGCCTCAGCGGTTACAAAGCGCCAATTATATTTATATATATGATAAAATTTATATCCTTTTTTGCTTTGTCCTAAAAATTTAATCCTCATTAATTCCTCATTGTTTGTGCTGTTCTGATTCTAACCTATTTTCACCCAACAAATTCTCGATATCTAGATCAAAGATAACTCGTAACGAATTTAATTGGCTTTACTCGAGCACCTAGTACATACAAACATACACACATACCCTTTGTAACATCTCTCGGGCTGTTTATTAGCTTAGTATGGGTGAAAAGTCCGGCTCATGTTCAAATTTCGATTCACTTTTAACCCATTCAATGAGCAGCCTATTAGCAACTTAGTACTTGCAACATATGTACATACATACATATTTACGTTATTAATTAACATAACAGGAAGTGTTTGCACTTTCACATATGTACATACATACATTTGCATATATATAATTTGTTTATTTTTCGGCTTATTACAGTTGTTTAAATACCGTTAAAAGTATATACGATAACATACACACATAGTACATGCCAACTTGAGGCATACATATCTAAATACAATGAGTGCAAATGATAAGTAAAAAGTGTATGTTTGTATGTATGTAAGTATGTTTGTATGTATGTAACTGAGTGCACTTATCGATAAAATTTCGTGGTGAAAGGACTATTGTTCGCAAATTATCAACAACAATACCAATAAACGCGTAAAAGAGCAATATTTACAAAAAAAAAAAAAAAAAAAAAACAATGGATTGTAAAATAAGCGTGTGTATGTATGTACATGTGTATGTAGGCATGTACAGTTGAAAGGTGATGGCCAAGCGTTCAACCGCTTACATATGAATGTTTGTATGTATGTACTTATTAACAACCGACAACAAATATTTATGTATTTATGTCTGGGTGTGTATGTAAACTGTGAAAAGAAAATTACTTCAAGGAAATTATAAAAAAAAAATTGTATAAAAAGAATAAAATCTAAAATCGCAACATGTAGGAGTATACATGTAGATATATATGTATGTATGTTTGCAACGAAAGGAAATGGTGAATTTGATTTTGATAAAAATTTTACTTGTGACCAACAAAAAAAACATAGTTGAACTGCCTTTTAAGCGGTTACTTGGGGTTTTTTGGGCAAAAAAATTTCAAAAAAAAAATAAAATATTTTATTCAAACTCCTTTCTGCTTCGGAGATATACTTTTTAAAAAGCGATTCCTGAAGTTTTCTACGAAAAATCTTCAAATCGCTGACTCATGGCAGAAACATTCGAAGTAAAAACCATCATTTCTCCAGCGCCATTTCAAGAATAAAACACATTTTTTCTCTTTAAATTTTTTAGCAAAAGAAATTCACACTTTTCCTCTCCCTCCGCCACCTGCTATTTGGAATTTAAGAAGCTTTTCAGCAATTAGGCTGTTTATTGCTTTTGTAACAGTTCAAAATTGCATATAAAATTTCAACAAATCACATTTGAATCGTCGTCGTCGAGCGAAAGTCAAAAGCAATGCGACGAAGTCTAATAAAAAAAAAACACAAACAAAAAATTGTGGCGCCTTTTAGCTAACAACCAGCAACCAAGCGATGCAGGCGGCAAGGCGGCAAGTCGGCAGTAAAAGTATTAAAGTCCATGATGATGTGACAGCACATACTCGTACATACGGTAACACCCACACATAACATACTTACAAACGAGAAGAGGCAGACAAGTGCAAGACGAGCACAACAACCCTTCAGTGCTTCAGTGAAAGCGCAGTCAATACCCGCTACGTGCGGAACCACAACCCCAAACAACACCGTCACATGAATACTTCATGCTGCTGGTGGCTGGGCAGGGCGAGCAGACAGACAGTCTGCATACATCGATTTCGTATCACATGTAAACTTGCTCCCCTTTTTTCTCTGCTAAACAATTTCGAGACAATTGACGACCTCGAGTGGTTTGGGAGGGGAAGAGCGAGAGAGAGAGAGAGAGAAACAGTTGTGGTTGTGCCGCGAGCTGTGTGTGGGGAGGAACGAAAACCACTTGAAAATCTGACAATCTGCAACGCAGACAACATTTGCCTGTTTAGAAAATTAAAATAAAATGCAAGTACAAGTAACGTCATAAAAAAGCAATAACAAAAACAACAACGAAACACAAGTAAATTTCTATAAAAAAAAGTATATACACACTGCTTGGGTGGATGCATAAACTCTTCCTCTACAACCCTGTCATGCCATGTATGTAATATAAGCTCGAAATAGCGGTATATTACCACGGTAAAGAGTCGCCCCGAATCGAAAGTGGCGAAGTGGGCAGCTAGGAGACGTATACTGATTGCAGTAGGCGCGGCATATACATCGACGAGCAAAAAAGTAAATAATATTACAGAATGATTTGTTTTTGTATGTGCTTTTATATGTACGCATAAGCTTCATGAAGACGCACAAGTTTCATACATAGTACGTTGAGTTTAGTCTTGTTTTTTTAGTAGACCCAATAATATTCGTTCCTACAAAACTTGCCGATTTTCACGGGAACAATCGCTTCTTACGACACGGTAAATTCTTGAGCCCCAAAACCACCCGGTCGAGCTGGCTTTGGTTGTTGCGGCTGCAGATTAGAACGACCAACGCACTTCGGCCTGTTGGCCCATTGTGATACCGCTGCGGTGAACTTCTCACCTGCTCAGATGTACAAACTATTTCGCATGCTCTGTGACCGATGCGATACTGCCTATACCAGCCGTTGCTACGTCAGGTTAGCAATCAAAAAAACGTTATCCTATGCATTTGTGTCGTATAGTGCTTAGAGATGGACAATGACAGAGGTATGGCTCGACAGACTCTTCCCTTCTTCGTCTCTGCAGCTTCGACAAACATTTATCGAAAAGTATCCCTAGTGAAGTCCCCTTAAACAGAGTCTACTTAGCATACCAGTTGTTGTATTGATGAGGAATCGGTCTAGGAGGATTAGATTAGATTCCTTGTTCTTATAGCGTCCAACACGGGCCAAACTGTTTGGTCACGTTACAAGTTCGAGTTCTTCACTTTTATGTACCAGAAGGAGGAAATAGAGACCCACCGAATTTGATATCTATAATATCATCTGAGTTGTTTTAGCTATATTCAACTGTCCGTCTGCCTGTCCATCGGAAGACCAGGATCCGCATTAAACAATAAAACCTTTTAAATAAATTTGTGATTAAAGCTGAAAAATAGCTTATCTTTTAAATTCCATCCTATTCTTGAGTTATCCCCACAAATTTTTTAGTTTTAATGATCAATTACCGATTAAATTTTGTCTTTACGTTGAAATTTTTACATGCTTAATAAATCAAAAGTAACCCAAATATCAAAATTTTTTTCATTTTCAAAAATTTCGTAAATTTCACAAAAACAGAGTAAATTTAAATATTATATTAATTTATGTACTACATAATTCCCAAACTATATGCGAAAGTTTTCTGAAAATTACAAAAAAAAAGCATGAAACACTGCTAGTTTTTTCCTCCTCAGTGTACATATGAACGCATGCCAAACGCCAACGGCTCTGCAGGCCACCCTAGTAGAATGCGGCAAAGGAAATTGCGAATAGAAAATTGGAAAAGCAAGG